TGAAAGACTCGTCTGGCGAGTGTTGAAGTCTAATTGAAATTGACTCCATAAATCCTCATTCAGACGAAGCGTCACATTTTAACAGACACACACATTAGAGCCGTGAATGAGCACATCGCAGGTCGGGAGAAGTGTTATTCGTAGTCATGCAAGATCAAGAAAAGCTGTTTTCTGATGCAACAACTGAGATATTTAATTTATGCTTGTGATCATTTGTTCCCATTTCTAAGGTTGAGTCTATAAATTAAAATTAATGATTTTAATTTATAGACTATCTATTCCCCTCCTGTCTGGGCCCAGAAACACTATTCAGAAATCTCAGAGTCTCTGTATTAAACAACTGAAACACCGTGACTTGGTTTTCACTTTCAAGGACTCCATCCACTGGAAGGTCAATCCACAGAAGGTCATTACTGAAGGACCTGGCAGTTTGCTGAATTTGTGTGTCCAACCAAATCATAAAAATGTTGAGCGGTCGAAAAAGAAATGTGGTAGAAAAAGTTGCACCAGTAACAGGGATAACCAGACTATTATGAGGCAAATGCCATCGAAGAGTTTGGGAGAGATTCACGAAACGGACACGGCGGCTGAAGTCGGAGCTTCAAGAGCCGCCACACACTGACAGATCCTGGACGCAGGCTGCTTCTGTAGCATTTCATGCGCTAAACTTGGACCATTGACTAAGGAGGGAAAAAATAAGTCTGGATTGTTGCTCAGTGGAATAACCTCCTCTTATCTGATTTGGGAATCTCACAGTTAGAAAGAAGAGTGGAGAGGCAGAGAATCCATGCTGCTTGAAGTCCAGTGTGAAGTTTCTACAGTTTCCAAGATTAGTATTGTACTGGACTTCATGTATGTCTACCTGAATGTAACTGTATGCCTAAACTGCACTGATAAGAACTGGATTGAACTTGTTTTTTGGTGCTTTGTAAATAAATTGAACTGAGAGAAATCTCAGAGAGCCAGCAGCTAGAGAATGTGTAGTACCTACAAAGTCTGGCTAGGGGTAGTAGTGCATCCTTACACTTATTAATTACTCATAAAAGAAGAATCTGAGGCGCCACTTTACTCGGAGTATTTCACCGTTTGATGTTGAGAAAAGAAAAGAAAAAAATACAGTTTTTTTGTTAGTTTGCATTGTTTTATTTTTGTTTAGTTTATAAATCTGCGTAGAATGTATTTAGCATCCCGATTCACACTTCATTCCAGTAGGCGGCGGTAATGCACACCAAAACGTTGCTTTAAAAACGAGAAGTGGAAGAAGAAGAATAAAGGAAGACAGATGATGAATGGTATGTGAAGCTAAAATAATAAAGAAACCACAAAGGTAAAAAAAAAAAAAGAGAGAGAGAGATCCAGTGAAATGACTGACTTTTTAGAAGTGTTTGTTACCTTGCATACATCCATAATCATGTTCTTGATTCTGACTCTTACAAACTTATCAGCTTTGTTGGAGAAACAAGATCCATTAAGAGATCGAAAAAATTAAAAAACGTTTTTTTTTTTTTTTTTTTTGTATTTTCAGCAGTCGGTCTGATCCTCAACTCTAATGTCTCTGCAGAGATTCCTGCTGTTTGTCTGGGATTTCTTCACTTTACTCCTCCCTGTGGACTTCACTCATTCCTGCAGGTAATTCTTGTACAGATGGACACAGATAAACATTTACACTCCCTAATTAATCTCCTAGGTTTTGTTGCTCCTGTGCTGCATTCATGAATTAATCTGTCGTGACATAAATTACAATAATTTGTGGTATTGTTATTGTTGCTAAAATGCCAAACAATTCTGCCTCTTTAATTCCAGAAGAGTACATAAGATAAAACTGTAGTATGTGGACAAAGATGAATCATTAATAGCTTTTAATAAAATAAGGATGAATGAATTACAGATGATTTAATTTCTCTATTTTTTTTTTGTATTATTCCAGCTACATGCAGTAACTGAAGAATGACGCATTTCTTTTAACACTGCATGCCCTTTTCTTTAAGATTTCCTCACATTTGTATCAGATTTGCTTGAGAAGGGACATTTAGTAGAGAACTTTCTGTTCCTTCTGGTTCTTTTCGCTTGCTTTGGTTTTGCTGAGATCAACAAAGCAAATAAGGTGGTGCTTTGACTCCTACCGAACTGTTAAAAGTTTTAGAAGAACGAGCACACACTGTTCATCTTCTCCCGATTATTGTTTTATGAGGCCAGCGTTGCCTTGCAGGCCGAAAACAAAAGTTGGACTCTGCTCTAAATGTCACAGATTACATGCAAGGCTCCAGCCTCATAATCTCCCCGGCGGTTTTTATGGGAAAGCGGTTCACAGAGTGAAGCTGTGACCTGCAAGCAGTGCAGTTTGGGATGGCTGCACGTGTGCCGCAGTTTGAATAACAGTGATTTTATAATCGGCATCAAGTGGATGAACTGTCAAACACATTGTTTCAGGACTGAGCTAAAACGAGGAACCACATGATGCTGTGAGTCAGAGTGAAAGCTGGATTCTGCGTTGGTTTGCAGAACAAGCTAGGCTAATAACAGAGGGTACTCAACGCTCTGGATCCTAATCTCTCCCAGGAGATATCCAGATTTGAGGTTAGAGCTGGCCTGGGTTTCCTCCAGTTTTCAGATTTTTTTCTCACGATGGAAATGCAGAGAAAACGGAAGCATCTGTATGTGCATAAAGTGCGGTTCTGATGTAAATGGAAGTAAAGGTACAGGCTTACATAACGCCTGTCAGATTTGACGTAAGATGGGAGCTGAAAGGAAAGCTCTTTCTGCTCTGCCGAGAACCAATCTCATCCTCTTCGTTTTGTTTCCACGGAAACAGCAGACGTGCAACTCACTGTTTCAGAGAGAGGGATAAGAGTTTTAAAGACGACGAGGAGGAGGATGAAGAAGAAGGGAAGTAGGAAAATTTTAAGTCCGACACCCCTGTCCAATGTGAAAAAACAAAGATGGAAACCGTCAGCAGAGGTCCCTCGGGATTCTCTGCCTCTGCAGGAAGAAGGCGCATCTGTTGGCGCCGGTACATTTAGTCTGAATTAAAGACTGCAGCCTTAAATCTAATTGAAAGTGGTAACATCTGGAAAATGATTTTCAATCCCCCCCCCATATCTCATTTATTATGGTTAGAAAAGATGTAAAAGGATAGAAAACATCATGTCATAAACGCTCAAGGGGAATTTCAGATTTAGCCAATTTTAATATGAAAGTTTGAAGATTGTTTTGACAATTCTTTGCCACTTTTAAATGTTTAATCTTTTTAAGTGGAGATGAGTCACATCTCATCACATCAAGTATAACAATGCAAAGCCGCTTAAATGGTTTGATATTCACTCTCAGGGTTTTCCCCAGAAAACTTGCTAAGCCCAGTGCTAGGGGCAGTCATCCAACGCCCCATCGATTTTTGTGTTTAAAAATGTTTAAAGGTGACAGAAAATTTTCAAAATATCATTGGGTAATTGTGTATTACTGGAAGACATTCTTAACACCTAAACACCAACTACAGGGTCTCAGAAAAGTAAAAAAAACATACCTCCTCCCTAAAATAAATACATAAATAAACATTGCTTAGCCTGGTGGGGATGCAAGTAAAGCCTGGTGGCCCGCCAGGCTTTACTTGGTGGGGGAAACCCTGCCACTTTAAGACTAAAAGCTAAAAGTTTGTTATTCTGGACATGTTTACTGTCGTGTTAATATCTCTGTGCACTTCCTAAAAAAAATAGACCTCCAGTGTAAAGTAACAATAATGATAAAGACAGTTTGATCTGATTCCAGAGGAAAACGAGGTTTGTGACGGTACGGCGCAGCATTTGTGCAAAACTACGTTGTTTCCCAGGAAGTTTTCTTCTTTATTCTGGTGTCCATTTTTAAGATGGCAAACAAAACGGTTACCACGTTGTGTTAGAGGTTTTTCAGATGGTGACCTGAACAGATCTTTTTATATTTTGGCTATAAACTCAATATTATAGACTATTTGAATTTTATGTAACAGAAAGTTGTTCATAACTGTAAAGTGGAAGAATAACCGTAAATGTTTAAATTCTTTACATATAAAAATGAGAAGTGTGCCGTATTCCCCCATGATTACCAGCTTCCTTGTCCCTGCTGAGTGAAAAATCTCCCTGCAGCATGATCCTGCCACCACCATGCTTCACAACAGGCAGAATGTATCATTCTGTTACTGAACTCCGCTTCACAAAATATCGAGTTTTGAAAGCTGAGTTGTTCCGCTGAGATCATCTTAAAGACTTTTAAAGAGAGACGCGTTTCTCCTGTGATCAGATATCCGGTCCCCCGTGAGGCTTTGTGTTTGTTTCTTTCAGATGTCGCTCTGTTTGTGTTGTTGGCAGCGCTGAGAAAAATCATGTCTTTTAATAATATATGGTGCATTAGATAACAACAAGAAGCAGTGCAGAGAGAGAGAGAGAGAGAGAGAGAGAGATACCGGAGGATCTGACTAACGCTGGATTAGTGTTTTAGCGTGTGACATCTCTGTTGCAGAACAATCAGACACCATGATAAGCCTATAAGATGCACAAAGAAAAGTTGAGTCGATGCGATGCCAAGAACTCAGACTGAAGGGAAGAGGAGGCTGGGGGTGGGTGGGGAGGAGAAAGCCAGAGGATTAATGTTGCCAGGTGGGGGAGGGGGCTCCATCCAGCATGTACAAACAGCAGGATTATAATCACGTTTGGCCCTCTGGTGATACCATGAGGAATATTTTTTTATTTTATTTTATTTTTTTATTCTTCCATATATCCAACATCAGCGGATAAAGACTCCAAGCTGCAGTAAAAGAGGATGAGGTTCAGACTTCCTAGTGAAGATGCAGCAGCTGCTTCTTCTTCTTCAGCCTGCAGGTTGCAAACATCTCTGTGCAGCATTAAAAATAGTACCATCCTCCACATTTTCTCTTCTCTGTGCTGAATATTTCAGTCAGCTGAGGATGTTCAGGCCGCACAGCCTCCAACACCTCCCTCTCTCTCTCCCTCCCTCCCGCCCTACAGACACGGCGCAAAAAAAAAAAAAAAAAAAAACGCTCCAGAAATCTCATTCGGGGCGCATTACAGAGCAAGATGGCGCTCTTGCTGTCAGCACCTCGGACAGCACCGGCGGCTCGCGCGCAAACCCCGCTCCTCGTTTAACTTCTAATTGATTTCTATCAATTTAGGCGGCATCCACGTGACAAACCCCTGCGGGTCGGAGCTGTGGGGTGGTGGGAGAACTTCCAGGTGAAGCTGTGGGGGAGGAGCGAGCAGCTGCTGTCAAACTGGACTCCTCGTCTTCATCCGAACCAAGTTACTCGGGAGAAGAACAGAAAAGCGGGGAGGATTCAGATCAGCTGGTTTAAATAGACATTTTTTTGGTTGGGGGAGAAGAGGAGGAGGTGGGTGGGAGAGATGAGGCGACGTGTTGCGGAGTCACGGCGGAGCCACGGCAGAAATGAAGCTCTGATCTCCCGGTTTCCCGTCCTCTGAGTCCCGCAGTGTTTCTTCCTGGTTCTGCAGCTCCAGCTGGGAAGATGCTGGCGCTCCTGGCCGCGATGTGCTCGGCGCTGTTCGTCCCCGGCTGCGCCCTCAGCTCACATTTCAACCCAGGTGAGTCCGCCCCGCAACACGCCACATTACTAATTCCTATAGATATAATTAGAGCAGGTTGTTTCTCAGTAAAAAAAAAACAAAAAAAACTCCCCGTTTTTTTTTTTTTTTAAATTGTGGTTTGAGATGGCAGGAGTGATGTAATGCTTGTGCTCTGCTGCTGCTGCTGCATGTTCTCCTGACCGTGCTTGATCGGATGTGAGTTAAAGATGAAAGGCCGACCCTCGGGTTCAGAGATCAGAGCAGTTCAGGTGCAGATAGAGGTGAAAGGTGAACGAGGAGTTGTTGTTGGGAGGTGGAGGAAGATGAAGCAGGAGTCCTAATTAGCGCTGAGGGAAGGAAGGAAGGAAGGAAGGAAGGAGGGAGGCGGAATCTGTTGGAAGAAGCAGATTTCTCTGCAAGATGAAAATGATGACCTTATGATGAAGATGGAAACTAAAAGGGGGGGTTTCTGGTGACTAAAAGGTTCCTGGATAAACAGATTTCCACTTTCACTTCCCTCTTCTCCGTTTTGTTTTAATTTCCCCCCCCCCCATCATGTGAAGAGATTCCTATAAGTCAAAACTCTCTGCTCTTTTAACAGTGCTGCTTTCATAATCTCAGTGCTTTTCTAAAACGGGCCGAGTAGCAGAAATCTTCCACTCCACCGCAGCTTTTTAAAGTCTCATCGGCTGCAGCAGCAGCTGACAGGAAAAGAAAAACCTTTTTGCCTTTATTCTATCTCCCCTGAGGAACAGTAAATTTAAAGATCCAATCCAGAGGTCTGCTTTTTTTCCCCCACTAACAAATGGACCATGTACTGACTGTGAAAACACAGCGGGGTGTTGAAGTATAGATTTACCTCCTCAAGAATACAGAAAAATTCAAGGATTTTATAAAGGGGCACTGGAAAAGCAGCTGCTGAATCTGCTTTGTGTGTGTTTGGGTTGATGACATCACAAGAGGCATTAAACATTATGCTGGGCAGGTTAATTTTTGACAGATTTCCACATAGCTGCTGTAGCATCATGGTTGACGTTTGCCTGTTAAACAGATCCAACATCATGTGTTTGCATATTTCACTTTTCACCATTAATCTTTGGTTTTGAGGTTGAAACGCCTCCCTGCCATCACCCTAATGTTTAGCTCCCTCCCTAATCGGATTTATGTCTGGACTCTAGTTGAGCCACTCCAAAATGTAAACATTGCTTCCATTCAGAGAAAAAACCCCATATTGGATGGGATAAAAGATCACTTTAACTGTAAATCTGCCAAGGAGATGAATAATTTTGATAATTTTTCTGCCTTGCAATCAATCGTTTTTTTTTGTTTTTGTTTTTTTTTTGCAGAAGTTATGGAAGATCCAGCAATTCAGCAGGAAAGCTGGGAACTTTGAGACACTAATCAACTGAATCAGGTGGTTTTAATCACAACTTGACTGGGATTGGTCTTCATTAAACTTTTGACAGTGAAGTCAATCTGTTCCTTCAGCTCCTCTTCATAAACTAAAGTATGAAAAGGCCTAAATTAACCAAATTTCCCAAAAATCTCAAATATGACTCAAATGTTTTGATCCGACTGTCGATTGCTATGATCAGAGGTGACAGGGCAAACGATCTCTGATCACTTGCCTTATGTGATGTCATCGGAGGGCATGTGGTATGGACACTGGTTTTTTGAGAGAGTGCCTGTTTTATCTTGATTAAATAGCAGTTTACAGTAAAATAACAAAAAGCTGAGCAGGCAGCGCTAAAAGTGAGCGACCACATCAGCAGCGAGTCTGTTGACTCACAGGAAGTCTGATAGCCAGCTTTAATTGGACAGAAATCTGATTCCAGTCAGACTCATAATCAAATCTTTAAAAAGTAGCACTCGTGGTTTTGATACGTTGCCATGAGCTCCTTGACAATGAGCGCACAATAAGCAGCCTCAGCTGAACCAAAATGAGTCGGTTTCACATTGGTTTGATCCTTTTCTGCTTCTGCTCGGTGAGTCAAGTCGTCTCGTAGCTGCAGACAGAAAAATCTCCCACCATGTCAGCTCCGTGTTTGTGCTGCTGTCACTTGGTGTCACTTGTTCTTGTCTTGTTCCTCTCTGCTGTTGTCAGGGAGATGGATGGATGAGGAGCAGAAAGCGCCGTTTTCTCATGCCGAATACGAGACGCTCAAGCTTGGTTAATTTGGATGACGTCAAAGATTCTGGAGTTTTGGAAACGTCAAAGAAAATGTCGTACTTTTGCTGTTCTAGTCCCCCACGGGATTTTCGATTGGTGGAGAAACATTGGCTCGCTGTTGATTCAGGGAAAAGGTTTGCATGAAGCAGGATTAGCGCTTGCAGTGCAGCGGTGTATTGTGGTCGTTTCCTGATGGCTCAGAAATCAACCCACATAAAACTCAAGACATGCAGTGCCTCGTAAAAAGTATCCACACCTCTTGAACTTGTCCACATCGCGTCATGTTAAGACCCAAAACCTCCCCGATCTCTCTACAGAAAGCAGAGCATAAAAGGAAAGGAAAATGACACGTTTCCCTCCAAATGTTTTACAGTTAGAATTCTGAAAAGTGTGGCATGCATTTGAATTCACCTCACCTGGATAACTAATATGTCTCTTAAAACCCTGCTTATTCAGAGAAGGGAACTTTTGCCCATTATTATAATAATGTTTTTTTTGCAATGTGGCTCAAAATCAGTCAGATTGGACGGAGGGCATCTGTGAAGATCAGTTTTCAAGTTCTGACACAGATTCTTGATTGGGTTTAAATCTGGACATTGACTAGACCATTCTAATACATGACTCTGATTCAATCTAAACTATTCTGCTGTGCCTCTGACAAGCTTCCCTGTTCAGTTCTTGCCTCATCTGACCAGAGCATCTTCTTCCACATTCCTCTGTAGCTGCGTTTCCATTACAAACGTGCAAAACTTTAATAAAACTGTTAATGTCTAAGAAACACAAGTTTTTTCATGCGATAAGTCATTAACAGACATGCAGTACCATCATCCTCCTGCCACTTATTGTTGTCTTCTTTGCCTGTTCTGCTAATGGTAATACCTGGCTGTCGATTACGACTCATGTTGAGCCACCGCGAAAAAGTGTTTCCATTAAAATTTAGCAAAATACTTTCATTTTGATACAGGCGCAAAACCCCCTTAATCCTAGCATAAAAACATTTCATGTAAAATTGTTTTCGTGAAGCGAATTTATTTTCATAATTCCACTTTGTGCAATTTTACGGTCAACGGGAATGCAGCTGCTGTAAAACTCAACGTAAACACAGAAGTTACTCTGGCGGTTGCATCTTTGCTCTGTCTGATCAGGAAATGGGAGCATTTCTAAACTTTTAAAAACAAAACCGAAGACATAAAATATTTATTGATGCGTTGCTGAAATCTGTTGCATGCATGTCGACCCTTTAAATGAGGAGCTGAGGGAAGAAACAGAATCCTGGGCATTAGATTTCATTAATGACCCAAGTGACAGGTAATCTGAATCGGGGAATATTCTGGACTTTCTGGGCTGTTCTCTGTACGGAGCATAACGATGACATCACAACCCTCTGAAGGGCTTGGCTTGTGTCTGTAGGGTGATTTTTTTTACTGGCAGTGCTGGCTGCTTTCCCAGACCTCAGGTTGTCCGTTTCCCATCTCTCTGCGGACGCCTGGCTGCTCGCACAGCAGCTCTCTCTGATCATATCGCCCAGGAAACGAGGAAAAGCAGAAGTTTGTACGTTTTTAAAGGTCATCAGAGCCTCCTTGTTCTAGACTGAAGTGCGGGTCGAGGAGCTGTTAGAAACTCAGAGCGGAGGGGATGCAGATCAGACGGAACGAGGTGTCCGCGTTGACCTTTGACCTTCACGCAGCAGAAAACGATCTCGCGTGACGGTGCGGACTGTAGGCGGAGTCGGTGCAGATGCTTTGATTGAACGGGAGCACGGCAGAATGAGTTATTTGCTCCTGGCAACCTGCTGAAGTGAAGGGCAAAAAGCTCTGGGCGTAAATTGGATTGGAGCAGTTTGCAGGGATTGGCTGCCGTTCAAACGCTTCTGTTGCACACCTCCGTCCTTATCTGTGGAGATGAAAGGAGCGCAGCCCTCAGAAGTTGTCCTTTTTCTGCTGTTGTTTTTGTTCCTCTCAGCTGCTAAAAGTGTTTGGCTGGTGGATGAATGGCTGGTGGTTTTACAGGCAGCCTCTCTCGTGTGTTTGCAAGAACTCAGACCAATAATCACCTCTTGACGTACAACAATAAATATAGTTTTGGAGGCAAAGAAAGTCAACTCTCTCAACTTTTGCACAAATTGAACTGGGATGGAGGGGAGCTTCATTCAGGCACCAAAACAAACATAATCTCTTAATTCTGCTTTCATACTTAATAAGCAGCTTTCTTTCCGTACCGTGGCACTCTGTGGTCTAAAATGTAAACTTCCTCCTGTACTTAGATGTTTAAAAAAAAAAAAACTTCAAGAGGGATTTATTGAAATCTAGGACTGATGTATTGTAACTGTGAGTAAAAAAAAAACAAAACATATCCTCCCTGTTTTAGTTCTGGAGGAGCAGATTCCACACTATTTAAATATTACAAAGCTAAATCAACAGAAAACTGTGTCTGGAAAAACAAATTTAGCCTCAATAAGACCTTAAAGGGAATCTGAATTAGAAGTAGATGTTTATTTATTTTTTTTCTTTTAATCAAGACTAATCTAGATTTTCTCTAAAGTGACTTTTTTATTTGTGTGAGAGCTGCCATTTGTTAGAAGCTCTCTTTGGTTTCAGCGCGCAGCGGGAGGTCAACTTTGCGGAAGTTCGTGATTTTTAGAGAGAAAATGAGACGTTTCAATATCCCAGCTGAGTCACTGTTTCACCATTATTTCATATAAAAGCCCCATTCAGGGTTCAGTCAATGACTCAACTTGTTACAAAAGTTTTGTTTTCTCTCTCTCTCTTCAGATTGAAATCAGCTGTGGCTTTCTGCTCACCACACACACACACCTGCTGAGTCATTCCAATTTTGACACAAATTCTGT